CAGGAGTGCACCAGCCTAAAAGTCGCAGGATATCGACTCTAAAGAAATCCAGCGTGAGTACAAAAAACTACGCAACGCATATATACGAGATCTCTTCCAGAAAAGTGTATATTACTGAAGACTTTTCAATCGAACACAAAAAGGAGACACGCAAATTGAGAATTCATTCGCTTCATCAATGCCCAGGGAAAACGGCAAACTCTCACAAGAATTCAAAATACGGCTGACCGTCTATTAGGAAACTTTTTGTACATTCTACACCTTAAGAAAAACTACACACTATAATGTACAAGGAAAACTTCTGCTCAAGTGAGCTGAACGCAAAAGAAACGTCTCCCAAGATGCTCAGATAGCAGTGGACTATTTCACTAAGGAGAAAAGAAACATTCTGCTAATATCCAAAAAGGTCCTAAAAACAGTACGCTAACCCGGTTGTCTTTTCAAACCCTAACGCAGATGCTAGGCAATACAGTGGTAAAGGAAATACAGAGAACCCAGTGCATTCGGGACTACACACTGCTCCTAGTAATAACATCACCTACAATTACGTGGAGCACTGTAGGTGGAGTATCATTATAAGTGTCGAACAAACGCATTCGTTGCGAAACTCGGGTTCAGGGGGCACGCGATGGCGCGGCGCTCTGTTCGTCTGCTCCTCCAGGGCTTAGTCCACAGGAACAGTTACTCTTTCGCCATCTCGTGGCAGTTTCAAAATACGCGCCATCGATGACTAAGCCTTGAGAAAAAAGTCGAAAACAGCATCGCGCCCCCGAGTTTCGCCGCATTCTCCATTGTAATCGTAATATAATATAATATATAAGACATCATACTCACCTAGTTTCCTTGTCACAGAAAAATTGTTTGTCCCATCCCAGAGTTGCTCTCCCTGCAAGTGTTCAAAGTGTCATTGAAGAAATCACTAACTAAAACACCGATCAAAGCGTTCCGTAAAAGATGTTATACCCTTATGCAGAAGTCTATACAACAATATGAACCCACAAAATGCAAGCACAAGCGACACTATTAAACCCTCGTTCACCGATAATTCGTAAAACACCATTTTAGTGGCATCGCCCGGAATCGTGTAAGTCACAAAACGTTTTCAATAATGAGACAGAATTAGTGATTCACCGCATTTATCAATACAATGGGTGTGAGCGCGGGCAAGTAAGGAATCAGAAACTTACAAATTCACGCATGCAAAAAAGCTGCTCCAATCGCGCGTTCTTCATACCGTAGTTGTTTTCGCTGCGGGTGCGCCAGCCTGCCGCGCGATGTCGCGTTGCGAAGAGCGAAAAAGTCGCGTTCTGTCCTAAGTACCCACACCCCCCGCCCAC